TAAAACACTATAAGAAATCTGTTATAAAGAAAAAAATTTATGTTTACCAACGTTACAAGAAAGGAGAAGAAGAAGTGACTTGAGAAAAATGTTTAAAATATCAAATTCAACTGTATGTACTAGATTTAAAAAGCCTTTGAGATTTTACAGCAACATGTCCAGGAATTGTCACAATAAAAAGCTTCATCAAGAATTTACTAAAAAATTATGCAGGTTTTGCTGATTAAAAAAGAAAGTGGTAAACATTTAAAATTTCTTATCACAATCGATTTTGCAAAAAATACCGAATAATATAAACTATTATTCGGTATTTTTTGCAAATTTATACCGAATTGTTTTCATAAACTATTCTTATTAACAAAGTCTTACATTTGCCGGCTATTATAGTCAACACTATATAGTTTTGACTCACCAAACTTATATAGTTTGTACAGCATTTGTTATATTATTATTGTTATTATATATATATATATATATATATATATATATATATATATATATATATATATATATATATATATATATATATATATATATATATATATATATATATATATATATATATATAATAGTTTGATATACTCCAATATATACTTTACTGTGACATGCGCAAAAATTCCACTACAAGGCGACATTGCAGTTCATCTCACACAAAAAATATTTCTTCGCACGGTAAAGACCACTCATTTTAGTTCTTGTACTGCTGCCGGGGGCTTCAGTACATACATTGACTTACAAATAGCTTGACTCGTTGCAGAGTACTGCTTCATCAACTGAAGGTACGGCATGGGGAAGCAATCTTTTCATTCATTAGTTTTTGTTTTTTCTTCTTTTTCTAAAAAAGCCGTATTGAATAAGATAAGCAAAAAAAATGAGCAAATGCTTATATAAATACGCTTTAGTAGACACTCAGACAGCAAGCTTACATTGGCCTAATGTTAGTTTTAACATTGGCAAATATATTCCGTTGGATCAACTTCTAGCCATTGTTTTTTTTTCGGTGCTATATTTCAACAATGCAAATTGGTTTTTTGCAAAAATCATACTACATTGGGCCAATATTTAGCCAATGTTTTTTTCGACGTAATATTTCAATTCTCCAAATCAGTTTTTCGCTCTATGTTGGGCCAACAGCCAATGTAGTATCGGCTCAATAAAAATCTGTTCTGACACTAATGCCGTAGCTTTGTTGAGCCAATATTCGGTCAATTTAGACGCGAATCTTTTTTTTTGTATATTTTTAAAACTTGTTACAAAATGATATCATTTTACAAAATAAAGAAATATTTTGTTATAATCTTTCCATTTTTTTTAAATATAAAAATGAAAAAAATAAGCTGTATTTATAAGTTTTCTAATAATCTTAGAAGGTTACCACATAAGAAGTCAACTTCATGAGGTTCTTGTGACTTAATGTTTTTTTGTTTTTTTAATAAAGAAATAATAATTAACATTTAAATAACGTGCTTATAACATTTTACTGCAATCTAAGTTATCAATTTAATATTAAAGGCAATAATCAAATCAATTTTGTGTAAGATCTTACAGTTATTTTTTTTTTTCAATACTTGCAAGTGTATTGGCATTTCAAATGTTTGATTTGTTTAATAAAGATGACATTTAAAATTTCTACTTCAATAAATAAATCAAATATTTGAAATATTATACAGTAATAAGTATTAAAAAACAAGTTTTTTTTTCTTAATTTATTCATAATAGTTTAATTTTTAGTTCATAAAAGTCTTAATAATACCTGCAAATTTTACATCACTTGTGTCATTAGATATAAAATTTTATATATGACAGTGGCATTATAGAAGTTGACGTTTTACATTTTATGTATGTATTTTTCGATTTTTTCTGTGTTTGCTTGTGAAACCCTGTCTACTAACATATTAACACAGTGTATAAAAAGTGATGTTACTATAATCTAAATTCTACTTACAGTCACTCACAGTGAAAATGATTCAGGGTAGTATGAAACGTGTTTTTGCCATTAAACATTACTTTAACATAATCTTTCTGAAAATAAACTACATTGTATTGAAGATCTTTTAATGTTATTATTGCAAAAAAAGGAAATAAATTTACAAACAATTCTTTTATTTTTTATTTAAAAAATATAAACCAAACAAAAACTACATCACAGTAAAAATGATCCAATCAAAAAAATACAAAAGAAAATTATAAATAAATAAAGTTAATAACAGGTAGGGTTTCCTTTAGACTTAATTACTAAATCTAGTCTATTAGGAGTAGATTCCACTAACTTGTTTGTATATTCTGTGGTTATTTTATTCCACTCTTTCAGCAATGCTTGTTTTAAATCATTTTTATTAATTATGGTATGTTTACGAATTTCTAAGTTTAGTTTATGCCATAAATTTTCAATAATATTAATATCAGGAGACTTTTGTGGAGTTTTCATCACTTTAGGACAATTGTACAATAACAACTCTTGCACTATTATCTGATGTATGTTTGGAATTGTTGTCCTGGTAAAACACAAAATTTTCTTTTATGTCCAATTTTTTGAAATTTTTTTAACAATGTTTAGGTACATTTTTTTGTCCATCTTGCACTCGATAAATTGCCCACCCCATTAGCTGAGCAACAACCCCAAACCATTACATGACCACCACCATGTTTTACAGTTGGTCTTAAATGTTGAGGTTTTATCTATTCATTCGCTCCTCGCCATACATTTACTTGACCATCTGAACAAGAAATCTTAAACCTACTTTCACCAGTGAATAAAACATTCTTATAGAAGTAAAAATCTTTGTTTTTATAATCACTGGCAAACTTGAGTCAATTTTCTTATATTGCTTGCTTGCGAATGGTTTCCTCCTAGCCATTCTACTGTGCATTTAAACGTTGGGTTATCTTGCAATGTTCGGACAATCCAACGTTCTTATGTTATTGTAAAACTTCTTTTAGGACTTATTTTCACTTTATTTTTTATTCTATTTTCATATTGATAACATTCTATAATATGCTGCACTGTAGACGCACTTTTGTTAGACAAATTTTGCAATTTCTTGGTAATTTTTTTAATTTTGGAAATGAAATAGAATTAATTGTCTTTCTTTGAGATTTGTGTTTCTTCAGTTTAATTTTTGTATTTTAAAGCACACACAAATTAATTAACAAACAGAATAATAATTAACAATATTAATAATAATTTGACAGAAGTCATACGAAAACAAAAGAATGTAATTATGGTTAGTTACTTTCGATTTTTGAGAGATGTGGCAATAAATATAGTTGCATCATTTTCACTGTGGCATGTTTTTTACGATAAGCAAAATGTTTTGTATTATTGTTTAGAAACTATTTTAAATCAACATTAAAAAAAATGTCTTATATAAAGATTATGTCACAATGTATACTTTTCATAGAATAATATTTTCAAAAAATATATTAAAATAATGTTAAATCCTGAAAATGTATCTTTTATTATGCTGCATCAATTTTCACTGCGAGTCACTTAATGTAGAGCCTTCTAATTGCCAGTCATTTTATTACAAGGCCAATGACTAGTCTTTAATAATTGATAGAATTATAAGATTAAATCAATAAATAATCATTAAAAACAATTAAAATTAAAAAACTCAATTTAAATTATGATGCTTATTCAATCAATTTAAGTCAAAACAACCCTGTATATGTTCCATCTTTTTTAGGCAGAGGGACATAGTTCTCGGTCGCATTTGTTTTTAATTGGTTTTATTGAATATCGTTCATATTTACTTTGAATACAACAGTTGCAACTTTAAGCTTATTCATTAACTTTAGTTATAACTTAAATATTAATGAGTTGATGAATAGATTTTTATAGAAATGCAAGATTGAACTTAGCAGAAGGCTAAACTTCTGCTCTGAAAACAAAAAAGGAAGAGAGCGACAATAACCAGCCAAAATAAAGATTGAAAAGTCAAAAAATTGTGTATATCTTGGTGTAGATGATTCTTCAGATTATTTTAGTAATAATTTATCCTCAATTTCATATAATAGTACAAAAAATATTAATAAACTTTGGGATTTATCTGTTACTCCAAACTCTTTGCAGAAGTTCAATGTTTGCTCTTAAAATAATTGTCTAAAGATGTTCAAAAAAAGTATTTTAAAATGGCACGGAAAATCTTGTTTTTGTAAATTATGTCAAATATAATTTTTATTTTTTATATTTTTTATTTTTTACGTCGAAAATAAACAACTTTTTGTATTTATTGACATTTGTATTATTTACTATCTAAAATATTTTTATTTTATTTTATTTGTTTTTTATTCACGATATGAATGTTTGTTTGTATTGTTTTATACAGTTTAGTGTGTTGATTTTCATTACTTTATGTTGATAATAAAACTATTGTAAACATTCAACTGAAAATAATGTTTTAAATAAATAAATAAATAAATAGAAGTTGAATCAATAAAATTTGTTAAATAGTAAGTTTTAATTCAAAAGTCTTTTTGTCTGATAATTGAAAATTTTATTCATAGCTTTAAGTTTTACAATTTTTTTAAGACTTTTTTATATATATTATGGTCAAAAAGTCAGAGTGTTGATAAACATTTTATTGTGCAATAATCAACATATCAAGGCTTACACCAAAAATTAAATTTATTTGAAATAAACTCTTAGGAAGGAAAACATAATATTTATATGAGTTTGAAGTTTTAACAGTTGGCGATGGTTCGTTATTGTTCATTATATAAATGTTTATTTAGATTTATCTAATAGACTAAGGTAATACGCATATAACCAATATTACTATACTATATTTTTAAATACTATACTATACTATAAATTTAAATACTATACTTTACTATACTATACTTTTAAATGATATTATTTTAATAATATTATGATATTATTTTTAAAAGTTGTATTATTATTTATATTCAGAATAAAAAATATTAAAAAAAATCATTTACAAACATTGGAGAAACATTGTTTTAATATGAATTTTTCTGTTTTACAGTGCATTCTGTATCTCAAACGTTAACAAGAATTGTTTTGTGTCAGTGCCAGAAATTGAATCTACACCAGAATAATTCATAAAATTATTATGAATCCATTAGCAAGTATATATTTTTATCATTAAAGATTTGCCTCTCTGTCTTTAATTTTAATTGCTTTATTAGTGAATGTTGTATTGACTTTATTGTTTTAAGATTGAATATTATTAACTTTATTGTTTTAAGATAAAATTCTCCTAAAGATATGCAGGTATTATTGACACGATTGCAAGCATTGAAGTGCAACTTGGTAAACTACAAAACATGTCAAATTTAATTTTAAGCATACTTAGAAAGAGTAACAAAGATATGCCAATTAATAATTTGCCTGACAGTGTCATTACCACTATAAGCTGTAAAAAATTTAAGTAGTCTAGAAGAAAAATTGTAAGAAAAGAAAATACTTAAGGATATGGTAAATATTTTTTTAAGATCCGTTTATGCATTTCTAATGATATCTTTTTACAAATTATGTACATTAAACAAAATACTCTTTGAAGGTTTTTTGTTATGAGATTTTATATTAATTTAAGTCTTACCAATGTTGCTATTGTTAAGTGGTTTAGAAAAGTTATTTTTTCTATTTTAATTTTGCATTACACAATTACTTTCTTATGTTTGTTTATATATATATATATATATATATATATATATATATATATATATATATATATATATATATATATATATATATATATATATATATATATATATATATATAATTGTTATGTTTCTTTAGTGCATATTTAAACAAACAACTAAATTTTTTGCAGAAACTGTGAAGCCAAATAAGCATGGCTTATGCAGGCATGTGATAGAAATAGTGGAAGAAAAGATTATAGTCGTTGGCAGCAAATATCAAAACTACTCTATAAATTTTATAAGGAATTTTTCTATATAAAACATAATGTGTTAGTTATGGTTTATGTTTGGTGTTCGCGATATGTATATTTAATGGAGAAATTAAGTAAATTAGATAAATAAATTTTCAAACTTGTGTCATTTTAGTTTTTATCTATATAAATTCTGTATAAATTTTAATTTAGTGATGCAAATAGTCTATTTGTAACAAAGATCTAATGTTGTATAAAAGGTTAGGCCGCTGCGCAACATTTAATGTTGAAATTCAGTATATAGCTTTGAGTCAATGTTGTATACAACGTTATGCCAATGTCTAAACAATGATCAAACCTGCATTGGGCCAACATCGAATTTTAACGTTAGGCCAATTTATCAACGTGCATTGGACCAACGTTGAGCCAATGTAAGCTTGCTATCTGGGTACATATCCCAGACAGCAAAGCTAACATGGTGATACATCGACCCAGTGTTGAAATTCGATGTTGGTCAAATGCAGGTTTGATCATTGTTTAGACATTTGCTCAATATTGTATACAATCTTTACCCATCTTTGGCCCAACGTTGTATATAACGTTGGCCCAAAGTTGTATTCAACATTGGCCCAATAAATTATATAACATTGGTCCAATATTGTATTCAACATTAGGCAAATGTTATTATAAATTAGCTTTATATACTCAACAACAATTGTTGTATATCGGTTTTATGCAACATTAGATCGTTGTTACAAATAGATGATTTGCATTGCTGCATTGAAATTTAGAGAGAAATAAGAACAAAATGTATGATACAAGTACTAAAATATATTTAATTTACATAATTTTTCCGTTAAATATACATATTGCAAACACCAAACATTAACTAAAAACTAACATATTAAGTTTCAAATAAAAAAATTCCCTTTAAAATTTATGGAGTAGTTTCAATATAGGCTAAGGTATTTGTTATTGAATTGTGTTTGGCTAATGATATTTGGTGACCACGACTATCTTTTTTTTTTCCACCATCTCTATCACGTGCCTGCCTAAGCTGTGCTTATTTGAATTTACAACTTCTGCAAAAAGTTAGTTGTTTGTTTAACAATGCCCCAAATAAACAAAACAAATTGAAAGTAATTGTGTAATGCAAAATTAAAACTGAAAAAAACTTTTCTAAACCCCTTACCAACAGCAACATATGCAATCAACATTTTTCTTATTCCAATTTTTTGTCTTCTCCCTGCATAGTTTAATTTTAAAGCTAGGCCACTTTTAAAAAATATTCTTAGTAAATAACATATACAATCTCCTTCTTTTTTAACATCAATTTTTCCTAAATAATTAACATGCAAAAATATACAACCTGGCAATAATTAAACTTTTGGTAAGACTTAAAATAATATAAAATCTCATTTACAAAAAACATTCAAAGACTATTAGTTTAAAGTAAATATTTAGTATAAAAATGTAGTACAAAATGCATAAACAGATCATAAAAAAATATTTTCCATATGCTTAAGTCTTTTTTTGTCTTTTAATCTTTCTAGAGTGCTTAAATTCTCTACTGCTATTTGTGGCAATAAAACTCTGTCAGGCAAATCATTAATTGGCATATCTTTGTTATTCTTTCTGATTATACTTAAAATTAAATTTGACGTGTTTTGTAGTTCACCAAGTTGGACTTTAATGCTTGCCAATCGTGCCAATAATACCTGCACATCTTTAGGGGATACAATTGTATCTTGAAAGTTTATACTCGTCTTTAGAAACTATACAACAAATTACGTAGAATGCGTACGCTGTTACGTATAATACGTACGCTGTTACGTATAATACGTACGCTGCATCGATGCATCTAAGACCCTTGAAATCAACGGCCGTTCAGTACACCCAATTGTTAAATGGCAAAAAGCACACATTGCACGCTCAAAACCAACCAATGCACAATAATATCAATGATACTATAAAACCATCTCAATCAGGCCAAAACTGTTCAAACAAGCCATCGAATACTTTTTTATGCCAAGAAATCAATTCAAACATCTTCACGCAAATTAAATCACAAAAAAATTGCCAATCAAATCACAAAAAAAACAAGATAACAGAAAGTTATTTAAAATCCTGGTACACAAACGCTACATCGTTAAATAATAAATATAATGAGTTGTTAATTGAGGTTGAGAGAAATTCACCACATATAATAATGGTATGCGAGACATGGTGGACAGATAAATCGATAACTAATATTCCTGGGTATTGCTCATATAGAATTGATAGAGCCTTCGGAAAAGGTGGTGGAGTGTGTTTATATATTGCTAAAACTTTAAACTCTTTCAAAATTTCAAATACTAAACTTCAAAGTAACCTAATTGAACAGATTTGGTGTTCTTTAGTCATTGGTAGAGAAAGACTTATATGCGGATGTATTTATCGTACTGGAGATAATGACATATACAACTGCATAAATGTAATGAGGTCAATTGAAGCAGCGGACAAGATGATGTTGAATAAAAAAGTGAGTGGGGATTTTAATAACTCGATGTGGGGATTTTAATTTCCCTCAACTCGATTGGAGCGATTCTGTAGGCAAAGTAACTGGAAAAAACGAAATAGCGCAGTTATTTATAGATGGCTTAGATAAATTCTATTTGTTCCAAAACGTAGTAAAACCAATATTTCATCTTGAAAATGATAAAAAATACAATATTTTGGATCTTGTAATAACAGAAAGAAGCTCAAGAATTTTCAATTTAGTACACCACCCACCACTTCAGCACGGACTTAATGGACATCATATTCTTACTTTTTGCTATAATTTTACTCCATTAAATAAAATTGTAAGTCAATCATACGCTAAAAAATATATGTATCATAAAGGGAACTATAGTAATATGAACAATTACTTTGATAAAATCAACTGGGATAATTTCTTTGAAAACCTTAACGTAGACGAGTGTTACAATAAATGGTTACAACATTATGATATGGCATGCACTCTATTAATTCCACAATCAAATATAAATAAAATCAAAAGAGTACCTTGGCTTAATAAAAAATTAGCAGCATTGATAAAGTTGAATATAAAACTGTGGATCACGTGCAGAAATTCCAAGTTTAGAGACCAAAATTTATTGAGGGAATACAAAAATCTCAATAAAGTCACAAAAACAACTGTAAAATCAACAATCAGAGAATATGAGTATGAAATTGTTCATAAAGCCAAAGAAAATCCTAAATTGATATACCAATATCTAAACAGTAAAACTAAAATCAATCAGAAAATAAGTGCTCTGGAAATAGAAGATGGTACAATATCGATAATTGAATCAGATATTACTAAAGTACTGAATAATTTTTTTCATTCAGTTTTTCAAAAAGAAAACGACAATGTACCAACGTTTAATAAAGCATTACCTAAACCAATTGCAAATCCGGAGATAAATATTGACACCGTTATTAAAAAGTTAAGTAAATTGAATGTTAATAAATCTACTGTTGAAGACAAAGTGCACACAAGAGTTTTAAAGAAATGTTCTAATAGTATTTCAAATCCATTGATAATTATTTTTAATTGATCCTACTCAAGTGGCATAATTCCGAGATTATGGCAGTGTGCAAATATTATCCCTATATTTAAAAAAGGAGACAAATTGAAAGCAACAAACTATCGTCCTGTTTCATTAACGTCTGTCGTATGCAAAGTAATGGAGAGTATAATAAGAGATGCTTTGATGGAACATCTTGTTGAAAATAAATTAATATCTGATTCGCAGCACGGCTTTGTCTGTAGTAAAAACTGTTGCACAAATTTACTAGAGTCTTTAGATTTAATTACACAGTCTCTGGATCCTGGTTTTTCAATTGATATAGCATTTTTGGACTTCTCCAAAGCATTTGATACAGTTACACACAAAAGATTGTTAATTATATTAAAAGCATATTGTGAAAATGAAGTTTTAGTAAACTGGTTTAAAGAATATCTGACTAATAGAATTCAAAGAGTTGTCCTTGTTACTTATAAATCAGAATGGAAGGAGGTAACAAGTGGAGTGCCACAGGGCTCAGTAATAGGTCCGCTATTATTTGTCATCTATATTGATGATATATCACAAGAAATAAAATATTGCTGTAAGTTGTATGCCGACAATACAAAAATTATTTCGGTGGTTACAAATATCAACGATAACTATGCAATGCAAGAGGATTTATTGAACCTTAGTAAATGAAGTAAAAAATGGTTACTACACTTTAACAACGAAAAATGCAAAATTATGCATATAGGGAAAAAAAAACCTCGCTATAGTTATTATATGAGCCAATCAACGAGCAATGAAAATCATTACATTATGATAAAAACATCTTTGGAACAAGATTTAGGGGTCCTAATATCTAATGATATAAAATGGAAAAATCATATAGATATGATCGTAGAAAAAGCAAACAGAATACTTGGTCAAATAAAACATTATTTTATATACTTAGTTAAAGACCTTATGAACTGCTATATTGTTCGTTAGTTCAACCCCAATTGGAATTTGCTTCACCAATCAGGAATCCTTATTATAAAAAAGACATCATTAAAATAGAACAAGTACAACGAAGAGCAACAAGAATAAAATGTTTAAAAGGTATGAAATATGTGTATCGATTAAAAGAATTTGAATTAACGTCATTAGAAAAACGAAGAGAACGGAGTGATATAATAGAATATTATAAAATTTAAAATGACATTCATAAAGTAAAATGGAGATACCCTCCAATAAACAACTTATATCCAAATTTAAGAGGTCATAATAAACGATTGCACAAACAAAATGTTCGTATTTCGAAAGCAAGAACGCATTACTTTACTAATAGGATTGTTAATAAATGGAACAGTCTAACCTATGACGTTGTTAACTCTGTTAATTAAAATACTTTTAAAAATAAACTTAAGGAACATGAGAAGGCCAATTCTAAATAAAAAATGGATTGTTATTATTTTGTTATGCCATGAATTTCATTAGTATTTTTTATTTTACTGTTAAAGTCACGCAACTACAGTTGAGTGACTCACATATTTTTTATATGTACAGTTAACATTATTATTATTATTATTATTATTATTATTATTATTATTATTACTATATTTAGAATTTATGAAAGTAAATACAACGTTCACTAATAAAGCAGATAAAATTAAGGCCAATGAGGCAAATTTTTATTGATAAAAATATATACTTGCTAATAGGTTCATAATAATTTTATGGATTATGGAATTTGCTGGTGTGATATCAATTTCTGGCATTGTCACACAAAAATTCTCGTTAACGTATGAGATAGAGACTGCGCTGTAAAACGACAAAATTCATATTTTTACAAAAAAATAAATTATTTACAAACTTTGGAAAAACTACGCTTCTCCAATGTTTGTAAATAATTTTTTTTAATATTTTTATTCTAAATATTAATAATAATACAACTTTTAAAAATAATATCATCTATAAAAATATTGTAATACCTTATTTTATTAGATTAGTTTAAATAAACTTAATTTGAAAGAGATTAGATTGTATGTGACAGATTTAATTATTGTTTCATTATTAGATTGTTTTTTAGATTTTTTTTAACAATTTGATTTATATTTAGTTTTAGTATATAAGAAAAATAAAAAAAAAATTCAGACTATCTTTATTTTTTTATATAGATAATTATATCAAAAACATTATTTATAGTTTTTATTAAACTATAAATACAGTCTAAGTTAACTAAAAATAAAAAATAAATGTCAAAAATGTTTAACAAGCTTAATCAAACAATATTACAAAGTAATTAGTTAAAAATTACTTATAATCAACAAATAATAAAGAATAAATAAAAAAAATTTTATTAGTCACTTTCTCCACATTTATAATTGCTCTGTTCTTTTAAGAACATTGAACACACTAGAATACATTTTTAAATTGTTTTAATATAAATACATACATACATATATATATATATATATATATATATATATATATATATATATATATATATATATATATATATATATATATATATATATATATATATATATATATATATATATATATATATATATATATATATATCAGGGATCAAATTAACGCAAAAAATCTAATCGCCAGAAAAAAAATTTTTTGCTCCCCCTCCACCATATACCTCGTGCTGCTTTGCCGTAATGGGAGGGGGGAGGGGTGCGTTTGTATAAAATTGTATCTTTAGTACGTAATTGTTAGTTTTTAACATTTTATCTCTCATATTTAAATGTTATCTTCAAATTTTCTCGTTTAGCGGAATTTAAAATAGCGTAAGTTACTGTTATAATTTACAGCTTAAGTCATAATTTAAAGTTTAAGTTGCAGTTATAGTGTAAAGAGCAAGTAACGTATTTAATACTATTAAAATATTTATTTTAGTAATTGTTTTTACTTAACATTATACTTAGAAAAGTAAAAGTGATTAAGTAAGAGTAAAAAGCAAACATAACAATATTTAAACCACTTTAATTTTAAACCACTTTAATCAGACTCGTTCAATAAGAAATCAATTTAACTTTGAACAAGTCTGCAAACAATTTTTTTCTTTAATGCCATATTTTCTCTTGTTCTTTTTTTAATTTTTTGCTTTTGTAAGTTTTCACAGTAGCAACTGCTTGCTTCTTTTGCATGATGCTGCATCTCTTTGCCAATTTTGATGCTTTTATGTCAAGTTGAAGTTTTTTATGTCAAGTTTGAAAAAAAAATGCATCATATTTTTTTACAGCAAAAAAAAATTAAAAAAAAAAAAAAAAGAACAAAAAGAAAGTAAACAAATAAAATAAAAATTAAAAAGTAGAGAGAAAAAGAAAAGGAAAAAAAGAAAAATGAAGAAGAATTAAATAAACTATGAAAGACGAAAAAACAAAGAAGAAAAAGTATTAGTAGTGCCGGAAGATTGTAGTGAAACTTTAAAAGAATTTAGTTTGTTTATCTTAAAATACGCTTTTAATTTAATGTAATTATTCTTATTTTTGAATATTATTATTTTTTTTTTTTCTAGCTTTTCTTGCTTGTTTTCATTATTTTTTTCTTTTTTTTCTTATACTGTTTATTATTATATATACTTATTATTGTTTTTATTATTGTTATTATAATAGTTATTATTGCTACTAGTATTATTACTATTATTATTTTTATATATCTATATAGTTTGTTAGCTTAGTTACTATAGTTTTACTTATTAACTTATAATACATAGCATAGACTTAATAGTTTATTATTATATTTTCCACTTATTATAACTATAATATTTTACTTATAATCATTTATAATTTATTATTATTTTAATATAAATTGTTTTAATTTATACTTACAACTTATCATTTAACCAATTATAACTTTTTTTTAATATGTATTTACGTTATTCTTCTTTTACTATATTAATAGTATTTTTTCATTATTTATTATATCACATTTTTAACTGTTAAATAAATATTATTTTTGTTTTACTATTTTATCAATTGAGTTATATCTATTTTGTTAATAAATACTATTATTATTTTTATTATTTTTGGTTATATTGCTGTTCATATTACTCTTTGTTTCCTTATTTCAGTTCATTCAATCACTTTATTATATAAACTGTTCCACTTAAATGTCTACTCACTGCAAAGATTGCTTCAAGAAAATTAATAAAAACCATCACTACCTTCAATGTTATCATTGCCTAAACCTTTTTCATAAAAAATGTTGTCGTCTAAATGATATTGAATTCAGAATATTGAAAAACTCTAAAACATCTTGGTTCTGTATTTCATGTAGGGAAAAAATTTTTCCATTCAGTACTTTATCAGATAAGGAACTGCACCTGCAAACAATAAATGATAAAGTGATTCATATTAATGAATTCGAAAACAACATATCATCTTTCCCAAACACCGTACAGCCTAATCTTTATAATGAACTTAATGATTTTATTTCCCATCAACTTAATAACAACAATGACAATGACGTAAACCTCGAAGAATAGCCTATTAATTGTAAATATATGGACATAGAAAGTTTTAACTCTTCTAACATCGACAAAAATAATTTTTCTCTTTTTCATTTAAATATTGCTTCTCTTGTTAAAAAATTTTGACGAATTAAACTTACTTTTATCTCTTATTAATCATAAATTCAGTATTATTGGCATAACTGAAACTAAACTAAAACATGACATTTTACCAACTATCCCATTAAATCTTACCGGTTATGTTTATGAGCACACTCCAACAAAATCTTATTTTGGAGGAGCTTTACTTTATATATCGAATACATTAATTTATAAACTTCGATATGATCTTAATATGCTTAAACCAAAACTTTTAGAATCTGTGTTTGTGAAAATCATAATTCCTAAAAAATCAAACATCATTATTGGCTGTATTTATCGCCATCCTAGTATGGATATTTCAGAATTTATTAAATCATATTTAATTCCACTTTTTGAAAAGCTATCTATGGAAAAAAACAAAACTACTTTTTTAATAGGTGATTTTAATGTCGATCTTTTATTAGCAAACTCAGATAATTCTGTCTCTGAATTTTTAGACACTATTGCTTTAAATAACTTTCTTCCCTTTATTTCATTGCCAACAAGAATCACAAATCACTTCAAAACTCTAATTGATAGCATATTTTCTAATGCAACTTCTACAAATATTTTTGACGGTAATTTTACTTCTACGGTATTAGATCATTTGCCCCAATTTTTAATACATCCTCTTTATAGAACCAAAATTAATTCTCGTAAAAGCTGCATTTTTCGTCGAAATCTAAAACAAATAAATTGCGTCGAGTTATGTAGTGATTTCTCAAAAATTAGCTGGATTAATGTAATTAATGTCAACGAAGGTAAGACTAATAAGTCATTTGAAGAGTTTTTCTCAAGTTTCAATTCTCTTTTAGATAAACATGCACCATTGAAAAAAGTCAGCAATCGTTGCTTATCAAGGGGTCTCAATCCTTGGATAACACGAGGAAAAACCTACAGACAAAAACGAAGTATTATCGATTATTCATTCTCTTAATGACAGCAAGGCTTCTGAACCTAACAGCATTCCAATACCTATTTTTAAAGCTCTTGCAAATGATATCTCTCCTGTACTTTCTGAACTATTTAATCTGTCATTCACAACCGGTGTATTCCCTGATATTTTAAAAACTGCTTCTGTTATCCCAATTCATAAAAAAGACTCAAAACTTGAACGTAATAACTACAGACCAATTTCATTATTATCAAATGTCAGCAAACTTTTAGAAAAACTTATGTATTCTCGTATTTACAACTTTTTAAATAATTCTGCTTGTTTTCATATTCGACAATTTAGGTTTCGCTCAAATCACCCCACTTCTCACGCTCTTATTAGCATTACTGAAATGATTCGTGGTGCAATTGACAGTGGTTCTTTTGCTTGTGGTGTATTCATAGATCTTCAAAAAGCTTTTGATACGGTTGATCCCGACATTCTAATAAAAAAGTTAAACTACTACGGAATACGTGGTATTGCTAATCATTGGTTTTCTTCATATATTACGGATCGCACTCAGTTTGTTTCAATTAATGGATTTGAATCCACACATAAAGTTATTAAATATAGCGTTCCACAAGGTTCCGTTCTTGGACCGTTGTTGTTCTTATTATATATAAATGATTTATCTTGTTCGTTAAAAAATTCTATGATACATCATTATGCTGACGATACAAATCTTTTATATATCAACAAATCCCTCACGACTATTTGTAAAAAAGTTAATCAAGATCTTCATCGCTTATGTAACTGGTTAAATAGTAACCGTATTTCCTTGAATGTCAATAAAACTGAATACATTATTTTTCATTCCCCTCAAAAAACTATTGATCATATTAAAATTAAAATTAACGGTAAAAATCTTTTTCCATCAAAATATATAAAGTATCTTGGAATATATCTTGATTAAAACCTATCTTGGTATAATCAACTGTATCATCTAAAAAAAAAACTTACACGAGCTAACAGTATGCTTTCTCTAATTCGTTACTATGTTCCTATCCAAACTCTTCGAATGATTTATTTTTCTTTATTCTCTTCTCACCTTTGCTATTGTTGTATTGTTTGGGGTCAAAAAAGAAACATTTTACTTAACAACATTGCTAGTTTACAACGCGCATCTATTAGAATAATGACGTTTTCCCCAATGAGATCTGATATCGAAAAAAAATTTTCTGAACTAAAAATCCTAAAACTCCATAATCTTGTAAAGTTTTACAATTGTCTTTTTGTGTTTGACTTTCTCCAAAATAAACTACCAAGCCCTTTTTCAAATTTTTTTATTAAAACTTACGAAGTTCATAATCATCACACCAGGAATACAGAAAATAGTAAGCTATACTATTCTTTTTTCAGCACAATCAAATATGGTAAGTTTTCCATAAAACAACAATGTATCTCTCAATGGAACCAGTGTATTCCTGCATTAACAAAAAAGTCTAAGAAAAAATATCCACTTGTTACGAATTTTTTACTGCTCAACAGAATTCAATTTAAAAATATATTGTTGGAGTGTATTTCTTTATAATTTCTCTCTGTACTATAGTTGTCTTGTGGTTTGATTTTTATTTTATTTATTATTTACCAATCTTATATTTATTTATTATTGTGTTATTAATGTTACATTTTATGTTTTATTATATCTAATTATCATCTATGAATTGTACATACAATTTATATTGTATTTTAATATTCTTAATATTATTGGTACTTTATTGTTATTATTATTATTTTGTAATATTACTATTATTATTACATATATCATTATTATTTGTTTAACAATCTTTTCTTCTTTTCTTTATTATTTATATATACAGATATTAAGTTTTTCCTTTTTTTTTTTTTTTTTTTTTTTTTTTTTTTTTTTTTGTTTACTTCAGTTTCCTTTTTTTTTTTTTTTTCTTTCTTTCTATTTATTTATTTTTTCGTGAAATTTTTATGTTTTTTAGGTGTCACTCCATTGACTAGTTTGTAACTATATGAGTGACACCTAACCAATTTATATTAATTTACGATGAAATTTGTAAATTTTATTGATATGGTTAAATAAAAAAAAAAAAAAAAAAAAAATTAGTCATAGAAAACAATTGCGTTAATGTAAAACAGTTTCGTGACGCTGTTTCGTGCTGTTTTATAAAGTTTATAACCTTAATAACATAAAACGCGTTTAAAATAAAACGAAGCAAATAAATAAAATTGTTCTAATTAATAAATTAAAACATTATCGTCATAAAGCTTCATATTTGCACAAAAACATGTTTATACGAGTCTATAATCTATAGACCAAAAGAGTAAAATCAAAGCAAATTTTGAACTTATATTTATACGTAAATACATCAAATTTTTTTTATTCTATAGTGTTATATTGATTATTTAAACTAACATGATAACCAACGTATTCATCATAATCATTGCAATTATCATCATTTCGACCATGTTTTTTAACATAATTATGATAACTGTCATCATTATTATTTTAATTGTTATCATCATCCATATTTGTTTTCTTTATTTATCACTATTTAATTAAGAAACAACTTTATTCGAAACACTTTCTGATTAATATGAAGGCATTGTTAAAAACCCACCTGGTTTAATAAACAGAAATATATTTTGAATTGGTATAACACTAGTCAAAAACTCAATGTATAAAAATTGGTTTAAATTAAATGAAGATATAAAAAAAATAACATGATCATCATTAACATTACCATCAACAATTACAATTAAGAAATTTTTTGTGAGCAAATTAGTTTATTTAAAGCATTGCCTTTTATATTTGTTTTGTAATTTATCGTTAAACTCTAATGAACAGTATTTCTGTAATTTATATAATACAAATAATAAAAAAATGTGTACTTGCAAGATCCTCCACCTCCATCAATAAATCTTCTTTTGGAATTTTTAATATGGCAATTTTTAACTTTTCAAACGTCGGATTTTCATCTATATTGAACCATTTTTTTATCATTTCATATGCTTTGTCTTCTTGTTTTCGAAAATTTATATAATCACTTTTAATTGATTCTAAACTATGTTTTGAGACATTTAAGAAAATACCAATCTTAAACCAATCTTGATCAAGTAGTTCTGACAACTTAATTTGAAATTCTTGATTTTGCAAGACTCCATCCATTTATACTAAAAAACAAAGCAAAATTCGAAATAACAAATTTATTTAAATTACATGCTTCATATTATTTAAAAAAAATAAAATTTTATATTAACTTAAGTCTAACCAAAAGGAACTTTAATTATTGCTAGATTGTCTAATTTAATTATTGCAGGTTAACTTGTGACAAACTGGAGTTAAAGAAGAAGGAGATTGTTTAAGTATTTTTTTTAATTTTTTTTTATTTACATTTGTTTCGCTGTTTAATAAATACAATCAACTTATATATACAAAAAAATACATACATATTCATATAAAAATTGTACATCTTGTCACCAGGCACCGTTTTGTATATAAAATATAAAATGGAATGAATTTTTTAATGATCTTTATTAGATAAAGAATTAAACAAACAGGAGCTCAATGAAGATAAAGATGACAAAACGTCGTTGCAATCATTTCATAGAGCCCCTTAAAAAGTTTTAATAAAATATAGTCATTTTTATTTTAAACTAAAAATCGAAAAACTAAGAAACTATAAAAGTATAATGGTATTCTTTACTGCGCTAAAAATTAAAAGATTGAAAAGACTGAAAAAATGATCAAAAGATTTCCGAGTAAATATATGCACAAATATAAAAGTATTATAAAAAATATAAAATTTCAAGTTTTAAAAATTTCTGTTTTTGCTAGATACTTAAATGAACTTAACAACTTAACTATACACTTGAGTCCTTTTTGATAGGTATTCAATATTTTTGGTCCTCTTTATGTAATGCTATATTCCGTATATTTATCAGATTTCCAAGGCAGTTTATATGCGTTACTCTAAGTTGCCCTTAGGTTTAAACTTTTCATTTACATTTGTTTCAGACTTATTATTAAAGTTTGCTGGAGAGATATTGTTATTAAATCGATAAATAAGATTAAATGCTGATATGTATTTATTTCAAATACATCCATCATTTTTATATTTTTCATTAAGGCTTAAGCGTGTTCACCAGGATAAATTTTCATCAATCCAAATTCCTAAGAATCTTATACTGGTTTGCCTTTTAACTATTTTATCATTTAACGTTTTTTTTTTTTTTGAATTATTATATAGTTAGTTTCTTAACATTAGGTGAAAGTTTGTAGCTTTAAATCAACTATTTACTTTATTTTGTTCAATATTTATATCTGCATATAATTTTTTGACATCAATGTTAGTAATAAACAAATTTGTATCATCAGCAAACATGACTGAATTCAGTTTTAAAGATGCATTACAAAAACCATTTACATAAATTAGAAACAGGAGTGGACCAGGAATTGATCCTTGACGGACTCCACATATTGCTTTCTAATCGTAAGATAACTTTTAATCCAATAATAAGTTTTATTAAATATCCCATAATGCTTTAGTTTATTTAAAAGGATGCAATGATCCACTGTATCGAATGCTTTTGATAAGTCAATAAATACTCCTAAGGTAAGTTTGTTATGTTTAAAACCATCATTTATTTAATTTACTATTTCAAGTATTGAGTGATCAGTTGAAAAATTTTTTTGAAATCCAAACTGATTTGGGTAACATAAATTGTTTTTAGTAAAATGATCATAGATTCTATTATAAATTACACGTTCGAAAAGTTTTGAAAAAACAAAAAATTATTGATATAAGTCAATAATTTCTGTTATTATACAGTTAGTAATGTGTGATTGATCATTATTTTTGTATATAGGAATTACTTTTGCTAATTTAAGTACGTCAGGAAAAATTCCAGTTGACATTGAGAGCTATAGGATATGGGTAGGAGGTTTGTTTAGGCTGTTTTGTTTTAAATAACTAAATAAAGAAAATAAAACTTTACACGTTATTGGTGACATAAACCTTGATGTTCTAACTTATTCAAAATTTCCAAAAATAAATTCTTTTTTTGATATGCTTTTCAAATTAAATGTCTTGTCAACTATTAATAAACCAACGCGAGTTACAAAAACCTCAGCAACAGCAATAGATAATATTCTTGTTAACAATAATATGGACATGACATTTGAAACCGGGATATTTATGACGGATATTAGCGATCACTTTCCGATATTTATAAAAGAAAAAGATATAAAAATGACATCTGATTGTGAGCCAAAAACAATACATTTGAAAAAACGCAATCTCAAAACAAGTAATACTAATAAATTAACAAACAGAATAAAACAAGAAACGTGGATTAATGTATATAGATGTCAGGACACTAATAAAGCTTGCAATGCTTTTTTAAGTAAATTTAAAGAATACTTTAATGAAACCTGTCCACAAGAGGTCATACAAATTAAAACAAAATCAAATACCAATCCGTGGATGGATAAATCGCTGTTAAAATGCTCAAAAAGAAGCAAAACATTTATAAGTTTCTAAAAAATAAAAACGATAATAATGAAAAAAATTAAAAAAATTGATACCAAGTTTTACTTTAAGATATTTTACCTTTTCTTTAGTGATATACCAATCTTTTTTCGTTGCTGCTTTCTAAAACCCCGTCAATTCTCAAGTTGTTTCTTCTATTACAGTCTTCACTATCTACACTCTTTAGTTTTAGTTCGTTATTTTCCGAAGATATTTTGCCCTGTAATTTTCTAACATTGGTTAAATCTTCGCAAACCTTATTAATTTTTTCGCCCACTGCTTTTACTTATAATAGTTTTTAAAAATGGCCTACTGTAAAATTTAACTATACAGGGAGAGGACAAAAACCGGAATAGGAAAAATGTTAATTGCATATATTGCCATTGGTAAGTGGTTTAGAAAAGTTATTTTTTAGTTTTAATTTTGCATTAGATAATTACTTTTAATTTTTTATGTTTCCATGGTGCATAATTAAACAAACAACTAAGTTTTTTGCAGAAGTTGTGAAGTCAAATAAGCATGACTTATGCAAGCATGTGATATAGATGGTGGAAGAAAAGATGATAGTTGTGAAAACCAAACATCATTAGCTAAACACGATTCAATAACAAGTAGCTCAGCCAATATTAAAACTGCTCCATAATTTTATAGTAAAGTTTTTTTTTTAAAACTCAATTTGTTAGTTTTAGGTTTATGTTTAATGTTTGCAATATTTATATTTAACGGAGAAATTGTGTAAATTAAATTATTAGGTTGTTATACTTGTATCTTACGTTTTTGTTTTTACTTCTCTGTAAACATTAATGTAGCATGGCAAATCATCTCTTTGTAACAATACTTCATTTTGCATAAAACGTTTTTATGCAATTTGATGTTGCATAAAACCTTAGGCTGACATACAACATTTGTTGTTGAATTAAGTATAGAGCTAATTTATAATAACATTTGCTTAACGTTGTATACAATATTGGCCCAACGTTAGGCCAATGTTGTTTAAAACGTTGGGCCTATGTTGTAATCAACGTTGGGCCAATATTGTAATCAACGTTGGGCTAATGTTGTAATCAACGTGGGCCCATCGTTGGCTAAACGTTGTATACAACATTGGGTCAATGTTGTACACAACGTGTAGCCAATGCCTAAACAATGATCAAACCTGCATTGGGCCAACTTTAAGTCTCATCGTTGCGCCAATATATTATCATGCATTAGCCCAACGTTGGGCCAATGTAAGCTTGATATCTGGGTAGTTATATTCATGTATGATATTTCAGATTTAATTAAAATATCCATTGTTGTTACTTATTGGATAATATTCTCATTATTTTGTTACATTTTTGTTTATTTGTGATTTGAGTGTATTTTAACTGTAATTTTTGGGATTAAATTTATTTTGTTTTTAACAGGTTAATGCTAAATAAACTGCAAACAAAATTAACTTGATTGTTTCTACAACAAAACAAAGATAAGAGATTGGATTTTAAACTTTATATTTTTACAGAGGTGTTAATGGTATGTATATAGAGTGTCTCAAAAAAGTTATCCGACCAAACATTTTTTTAAATATTTTTCTTAAAAAAGTGCTGTACATTCGTAAATTTCGAGTTTTTTGGTAAACTTAAGATTAATATGAATAAAAGAACATGTTTTTAAATAGATTTTATTTATTTTTTGTAAAATATGAATCACAAAGTTTTTAGTCTTAAAATTGAGGAACTTAGGTCGGTTTTTTTATTGTCAAAAAAATATTTGACCAAACACGTTTTTTGTTTCAAAACAATTATATTAATACTTGTAGGGCCTCCCTTTGCTTAGATTACAGCTTCTAGACGTCTTGACATTGATTCGACTAAAGATTTTATTTCTTCTGGATGAATCTTTTGCCAGGCTTCATCAATTGCCACTTTGCCACTTTTTTGGAAAATGACAGTCCAGTGACGTTTACCTCCAACCATTTTACTTAAAAAAACATGAAACTTATTTTTTATACAAAACTTTTTTTTTTACTACAAAAAAAAAGTTTCTGTTATTCAATTTCATTAATTGTATAAAAATTTGCTATATTATTTAAACAAATTTCACATAAAATTATTTAAACTTACCTAAATATTGTATGATCGGATAATTTTTTTACAAGCCTATTCAATACCAAGTTTTTTTCAGGACAAATAATAAACCAACTGAAGCATGATTCAAAAAATATGAACGCTAAATAACATACTAATCCCAAAAGAATTACAATGACAGACAAAGTAAGTATTACTATTCATTGTTTTTAGTATAATTTAGAGCGTAAACATTCTTTTTGGGAAAAAATTGCTTGGTCGGATAATTTTTTGAGACTGTATTTTTTTTTTTACACAGCTGTCGCCTTTATATATATATATTTATATATATATATATATATATATATATATATATATATATATATATATATATATATATATATATATATATATATATATATATATATATATATATATATATATATATATATATATATATATATATATATATCATATATATATATATATATATATATATATATATATATATATATATATATATATATATACATATATATATATATACATTTTGATTTAAATTTTTTTTGCGTCTTTTTTTTTCAGCGATCTAACTTTG